GAGCCGGGCCGGTCATTTTGATATAACTTTTGTGAAGGTCCACGTTGTGTTTTGGGCCACATTAAAGTTGAAAAAGATACGCTTATCTGGTGTAGATTAATAAGTGAGCAGTCACCAACTAGTTCCTGGAGTTGGTGAAATATTGCATCTTTGTTCGCAAATTATGTCGCCATGGTAACTCGAAATGCCAATAAACATAATAGCACACATCACAGGGCCGAGCCGGTCGTTTTGATATAACTTTTGTGGGAGTAGACATTGTGGTTCAGGCCGCATTAACGGAGATAGAAATGTAGACTCACTTCCGAGGGGTAGAATAATAGGTGCCTGCCATGTGCAGGCATGGCAGGCACCTATTATTCTACTGGCCTCTGCTGTACTGTATATGTTCACATCTGTAAGCATTATTCTCCTCCTGCACTTTATCTGTAAACAGGTCTCTCATGAAAAGGGGTCTCAATGTGACCAACCTGAATAAATAAAGGTTGAATGAAAAAAATAATTGGTATTAATATTGTATTTGCACTTCTGGTTAATGCTGACTGCATCCATCAGCTCAGTACCTGAACTCTGCACAATGACAATAAAGTTGAATCTAATCTCATACGGTCAACTTGCTGCTGAAGTTGAACAGCCCTGAAGTGAATCTTTAAGCTAAGATCTTCACATGGCATGAAATGACACATTATTTTTTGTAAATTTTGATGTAAAAATGTTTTTTTTTTCCATTTTTTAATAAAATAAATAATCGTTGTGATTTTGACAGATTTCCTTTAAATCCATTGGACACAATAATTTTAGATTAAAAATTGCTATAAAACTTTTTCAACACAAAGCCATGAAAACATTTCCACTGAAAACGCTGTTGGTGCCACATCAACATGTCTTCTTTAGAAATCACGAGAAGTCACAGTGAAAAATGTTACTTTAAACCATCACAAGTGTTTGTTAAGTTTGATTATTTACCGTAGAAACAATACAGATGTTCGTGTGCGTGATGTCGTGCAGCACGGACAACAAACGTGACTTCGAACAGGAGCTGAATAAAACTGCTTGCACAAACAGACCTGATCTAGCAGCTTGCATTTATAGATTTGATGTTATGATCATTTGAAATATATATATAATCAATAAACTTTAAAATGAAAAGCTCAGGAATTAAAGAACAAAGCGCCTATGTAGTCCAAAATGTTGCATTATGGGTTGAACTGAAGGTTTTTTAGTGATGCTTTTCAAATAAAACATAAAAAATAAAAAATAAATACTGGTATCTGCTTTTGTCCCCTGATATTTATCATTTAATTAGTTGATCAGATCCACAGTAAAACCAGCACCAAGCTTGTTTCATACAATCAATGTGTCTTATTCTAAATATTTCAAGTACAATATTTTTCAAAGGCGCACTTAAAACCTTTTAATTTTCTCAAAAATCGACAGTGAGCCTTATAATTCAGTGTGCCTTATGCATCAATTCTGGTCGCGCTTCTGAAAAGTACGGTATGTAAAAGTATTTAATACTGTATATCTTACACAGCAACATCAAAACAAGTCTGTTTGGAAAATGAAAACCATTTGTAATCGGAGTGCTTGAGTCGCCTTTTAGCCCTCTGACAGGTTTCTGCCCTCAACGTAAGAAGCCTCTGACTCGTCTGGATTTCACTGAAGAAGGTACAGAAACATCTGTCCCATCTGTCTCACCTGTGTGCTGAGGCCCTTGCGCTGTGCTGCAGGTGTGTTTGCATAGGAGGAGATGGAGGAGCTGGTGTGGATGTCATCTGTGTCGATGTTGTCGCTGATGCCACTACTCACGGAGCTGCTGTCGTCCCAGCTGCAAATACACAGCAGAAGATAGAAAAGCTCACTTTATTCATTCAGCCTTTATTTATATAGGTTATTTATATATATACATATAAATATATACATATATAAATGGACAACATGTTTCACCCCAAACCTAAACTCATTTATTGGACAATAAACTGAGCAAAGAGACGAAATATGCTAAATGTAAAACAGCTCTTCCAAAATGAAAGATTTGTTTCAGAGTTGTGACGAGATTTTTTTTATTCAACTATCTACTAATCATTCTAACATTTTATTGTTTTGCTTGTTACTCGGGTGGCACAACTGGTAGAGCTGCTGCCTCTCAGTGAGCAGGTCCTTGGTTCAAACCCCGGTCCAGGGGCCTTTCTGGGTGGAGTTTGCATGTTCTCTCCGTGCATGCGTGGGTTTCCTCCAGGTGCTCCGGTTTCCTCCCACAGACCAAAAACATGCATGTTAGGCTGATTGGTAACTCTAAATTGTCCCTAGGTGTGAGTGAGAGAGTGAATGGTTGTTTGTCTCGTTTGTCTCTATGTGGCCCTGTGATGGACTTGCGACCCATCCAGGGTGTACCCCGGCCCTCGCAGAGTGATTGCTGGACATGGGCACCGGCGACCCCCGTGACCCAAAAATGAATAAACGGGTAAAGATAATGGATGGATGGATGGATGCTTGTTACTCCATATTAGACCAATCCTTCAGCATTATGGATCAATACCAGTTGACTGTAATCATTTTATTTAAACGTTCAACATGATAACGTATGGTTTAATAATCTATAAATGTGTGGATTTATATTAATAAGAGGAAAAAAAAAACTTGTGAAGTTCAGTCTTAAATGAAGTGACAAAACCTCCGGGATCAGAAGTTTTCAGCCACAGAATGGAAGTCCGGTCGTTTTGTCACTTTCTTTCCATTCAGCATTAAATATGAATAAAACAGAGAAAAGACTGCCTGGTGATTCTCGTCCTTTCTTCTCCAATAAACTGATTTCAACTTGGACACACACACACACAGACATGCCCAGATTGGTTGAATGGGGCTGTCTATCATCTGAACAAAGGCTTGTCGGAGGGGTGACACCATGGTGTGTCTGTGGACTGTTCAAACAGACCCATATGAACAAAGCAGTCGTGCCAGGAGCAAAGGATATCTGCAAATATGTCTGTGTGTATCTGCCTGGAGTCTGTGGGGGACAGGAAGACAAGCCATTTGGCAAACATCACTTTGAAAGGAGCTGAGGGTGACAGTCAGCGCAGCGCTGGCTGAGACACACCACACACCAACTCCCTGCAGAGTTTACAGCTAAATGCATTTTAAATGTCATCAAAGGAACATTTACTAGCTCACAGAGAAACATTTTCACAACAAAACAGATGGAATAGTTGTGCTTCAGTTTTAAAGGAATGCATTTCACCCACCACCTTACATGCCTGAATTTTAAAGCAAGTTTATCTTTTGATGAGAAACGACACAGGTATAGCCATTTTGGTGAAATCCTACAGATAATTTATAAAATACTGAAAACTTTGCATGACACGTGAGTACTCAGACAAGGACTCTCAGCTACTACCACATTAAATTACAGCTAAATATATGTAAAAAATTACTAAGAGCCATTTCTGTGTTCTGCAAAGTCAGTAAGCAGTGGCAGCCATGTTGAACAGGTCTGACTGAAACTTTGATCAGTTGTAGTTTTAAGACAGGCGTGTCAAATTCTGGTCCTCGAGGCCACTACCTCACCTGTTTTAGAGGTTCCTCTGCTCCAACACACATGATTTGAATCATAAAGTGATTAACGCCGGTCATGACTTAAATTTAAACTGTCTTGAGTTGAGAAATGAAATCTTAATTTTTCAAAGAAGGCCCAGGTTGAGATTTTCTAGTTAAATTAAATTTTAAGAAACTAGAAAATTGCATTTCCTGCGAAAATGCAGTGTGAATGCTTATTGCAGAAGAACTTGCTGAAAGACAGCTAAAATAAGCTAAAAAAAACATTCTGTAGCTGAAACTGAAGAACAAGCCTAAACTAAATAAGCTGAAGAAAGCAGAAAGAAGATGGTTGCCCAATTAGGTTGGAAGAAGCAGAAATGAGCACATCCATCCATTATCTTTACCCGCTTATTCCATTTTGGGTCACGGGGGTCGCTGGTGCCCATGTCCAGCAATCACTGTGCGAGGGGCGGGGTACACCCTGGACGGGTCGCAAGTCCATCACAGGGCCACATAGAGACAAACGAGACAAACAACCATTCACTCTCTCACTCACACCTAGGGACAATTTAGAGTTACCAATCAGTCTAACATGCATGTTTTTGGACTGTGGGATGAAACCGGAGTACCTGAAGAAAACCCACGCATGCACGGAGAGAACATGCAAACTCCACCCAGAAAGGCCCCTGGACCGGGGTTTGAACCAAGGACCTGCTCGCTGAGAGGCAGCAGCTCTACTAGTTGTGCCACCGTGCTGCCCAGAAATGTGCACATAAAATTGGAAATCATTTGAAAAAAAAGCTTAAATTAGCTTAAAAAACAGCTGAAAAGTAGCTAAAAAACAGAAAGAAACAAATTACCAGAAGGAAGTGGAGAGAGCACAATTTTTGTTAAATTATGCTGAAAAAAGTGCAAAAAAAGTGGAATTAGCTGAAAAAGCTAGAATTAGCATAAACACAGCTAAATGGTAGCTGAAATAACTGAAACTAACAGAAATAAGCTGAAAGGAACATAAGTTGTAATTAGCAGTAAGAAGTTCATTAGGCTGAAAGTAACAGAAATTACCTCGAAAAAGGTGAATATATCTGAAAACACCTGAAATTAGCTTAAAAAAGCTAAAATCTAGCTGAAAAGCCAGAATAAGCTTAGATTGGCATAAGAAAGCAGAAAGAATATGTTTGCCCAATTAGGCTGAAAGAAGTAAAAATTAGCACAAAGTCGAAATTTAGGGTAAAAAAAAACTAATATTATCAACAACAACAAAAAACATCTAAAAAGCAGAAAGAAGCTTAAATTACCAGAAGGAAGTGGAGCGAGCACAATTATCCAAATTAGGCTGAAAAAAGTTAAAATGAGTGCCAAAAATGTGGAATTAGCTGAAAAATCTAAAAATAGCAAACAGCTAAATAGTAGCTGAAATATCAGAAGCAGCTGAAACTTGCAGAAATAAGATGAAAGAAGCAGAACAAATGTGAAAGGAGCAGTAAAAGGTTGTAAACAGATCTAAAGACCTGAAGGATGTTAAATGAGCTCAATTCATTTTCTACGAGAGAAAAAAAATGGCAGAAAAAGCTCAATATTTCAAAAAGCTAAAGTTGCACCAATACCATTAGGAGAAAGAGCTGAATGTTTTGATTTATGATTTGTTGAAAAAGCTTAAAAATTGTGGAACGAGAAAGATGCTGAAAAACGTACGGAAGGATTTAGAAGTGGAAAAAGGATCACAGTAGCGTGAATGCTTCATAAGAATTCACACAGTAAAATAAAATCCGGCTTCTGCTGAACATGAAGCTGTGATTCATCCCCTCAGTCAGGTGTGTTGGAGCAGGGCAGGATAGAGGCCCTCGAGGACCCGGACTGGACCCCCCTGTTTTAAGCAAAGACGTCTTGTGATGCATTGCAGTTAAAATGTGTCGGGGATGATGCACAATTAAAACCATATAAGGTTTTAGCTCAATATCCATAAAACTGACCAAGTTAAAGAAATGTTTGTGTTTACTAAGGTGAAGTGATGGGAGCAGCCATTTTGAATTGATGTAATTTCAAAAGTTAATCAGTTGTAAATGTAAATCCATTGATTACTTTCTGAAAGTTTAATGAGGATCCACCCAGTGACTCGTGAGGTACTTTACTAACAGACAAACCAGGGTAAAACATTAAATCCCACAGCTTTAATTTAATATATTGCATGATTTGTGAGCATGTGTTGAGAATGACTCTCAGCTGACAATACTACACCAAATTATGGTGCATCTGTTTAATTGTTGGAGTTACACCCGTTATTTTGTTTGTTGAGACGGATTAGCTGTGGCGGTCGTTTTGAACAGGTTTGACTCCAAAAGCGAAAGCATTTCAAGACGTACATTGTTTCAAAGTGCTTCAGTAAATTTGTCCAGTGGTTCATGAGATAATTGTTACTAACACAGACATTAACAAACATCCTCTTTCAGTAGGGGGTGATAAATGTGTAACGATACCATCAGGACAGCAGTGTTTAAATATAGGGCACCAACAGGAAGTGTGTTGTTTGGGTAACTCAAAATCCTTTGTTGACTTTTAGCACTTGACAGCTTTGTGGTTCAACATCCATCAAGTGATACAGTATCTGCTCCCATTCATCATTTATCCCTGGTTTGATCTTTATATACAGTAAAGTCAGAGCAGACGGTGCTTTGATTTATACAAAACTAAAACTGTGATGCTCAGAAACTAACTCCTGGCTTTTCCCACCAGTGAACAAGCACACACCATAATTATAACTTTCAATAGAAAAACTAAACAAAGGTTTTCAATGGCAAAAATCCCAGATTCAGGAAAAACCCTACCAAACCCTAATCAGCTGGTTCTCGACAAACTTTAGACCAAAAACATCTGCTGCTTTTCAAACCTTGGTTTGAAAATAATCACAGAGAAGATGTGACTTCGCCAGGTGAATGAATCCACCAGACGTTCAGTGAAGACATGGTGTAAAGAGCTGAAAGCATCCGGAGAGCAGAGAGCCGAGAGGTGGTGAAAGATTTAAAATGACCACAACTGCTTTAACCCGTTCACACAGCCACAGGGGGAACTCCCACACACACTGCTGTTAAAGAAAATACATCTGGAAAGCTCAGGGATATATCAGAGTGCCCCTTTCCTTTAAGAAAACGAACGGCAGAGAAATCAAAACAGGCACTGTATAAAGTTTCCTTTGTATTCTTGTTCATGGACACACACACACACTGCATCTACCTGTTCAGGGTGCCCGCGTTGCTGTGGGAACCAGGACCGTGCACGAAAACGCCAAGCTGCACG